CTCTTCCGCATTACGGCGCTTCTCCCTTTTCCGCATTACGGCGCTTCTCCCTCTTCCATATTACGGCGCTTCTCCCTCTTCCGTATTACGGCGCTTCTCCCTTTTCCGCATTACGGCGCTTCTCCCTCTTCCATATTACGGCGCTTCTCCCTTTTCCGCATTACGGCGCTTCTCCCTCTTCCGCATTACGGCGCTTCTCCCTTTTCCGCATTACGGCGCTTCTCCCTCTTCCATATTACGGCGCTTCTCCCTTTTCCGCATTACGGCGCTTCTCCCTCTTCCGCATTACGGCGCTTCTCCCTTTTCCGCATTACGGCGCTTCTCCCTCTTCCATATTACGGCGCTTCTCCCGCTTCCGTATTACGGCACATTTTATTTTCAATAATATTCCAGCGTTCGTGATGAATTATAGTATGAATAAACCGTACAAATTCGAGCAGTGGTAGCATCTGCCCAAATAGCGAATCTTTTTTCGTTTATTCAATTTGTTGCATTAAGAATTTCATATCAACAGGGGATTTTTTAATTTAATCAATGCTTGTCGTTTTAACAGCATTATATTTTTCATTTATATTTACGGAATATGTTGATATAACTTATAAAACTGATCTCTGTAATCTCATCGTTCAAAACAAGTAGAATGATGATCTTGATCGTAATAAAATTTATGAGGTCTCGATATTCGCGTTTAATTAGTGGTCTCTCCTCGCTCGCGGAAACTTCAACATTTTCTGACAAAAGTTTCTATAAATTTTTAACTTCACTTCTATAACTTTAGACTTCTAACTTTAACTATAACTTTAGACTTAATAACTTTTAACTTCATTTCTATAACTTTAGATTCAAAAACTAATCGTGATCGCGCCAGATATTATGACACAATAAACTCTTTCTAGTTCTCTAGAATAAAATTACTTTGTTGACGTATACAATAAAACGGTTAGTTTATAAGCCTTAAAGTTGTTTCATTGTATATACTGTTGATTGTCGCAGACCAACTTTTCCTTGTAATATCTTACGGCATTACCTCCTGTTGAATTTATCACGTATACGCCCAAATATAATGAAGGATATTTAATAGAATTACGATATTACCTCCTGTTTAATTGAATGATCAATTTATTAATTGAATGATCAATTCATGATGATGATGATCATCAGCATTAATATAACCGGGAATCTGATTTCGCTTATCAAATGACTGTTGAGTTAGGTATATTACAAACAGTCAACGTAGAACAAAAGGATGAATAATACTAGGAAATATTTTGAACAATTTCTTTTACTTCGATAAAATAATTTGCGACAACATTTGTTGAACAAATGATCATAATGAAATGAAAAATCGTTCGCTACGCTGATCATTCCAAATGATCTTAGAAATGGCATCAATCCAGTTATACGACAAAATATCTCTTACGTCGGTCGCTATTTGCTGTTGTTTTCTCACTTGTTTTATCGTTTAAAGTTATAGTTTGCCAAAAGTATTTTTTGCGGTTTATAGTGAATATTTAAAATAAAGAAATTCACTGTTCACATAGCACAGGATAAAATTTGAACAATAATGCAGATTCTTTAAAGCTAAACCTGCGGACATTATAAGCTAATATTCTGCCATCTAAAAATGGATGCGAGTAATATTAACTAGTAGATTGAAATGCAATAAACCTCGTCGATAAAAACTAGTAAACAAACGACTAAATAATAATAATACAATGTAAATCAAATTATGAGGTGATTGCTTAATAATTTTGATTTCTTTTCATACAATTATTAAATTATAATCACATTACAGAATCATACAGAATCACTTTACAGAATCATTCACAATCAGAGTCATAATCACATTACATTACTTGTGCGCAAGTAATTTACTCTATCCCTCATTTCATTTTATTTTTTTATGCTAGTATAATAGACTATAATACTCTTACATAATATTACTTATATGCAAGTAATATATTGTAGCTCTCATCACCGTATCTTATTTATTCGCAAGTAATTCCTTACAACTCTCATTACATTATATTATTTATATGCTATGTGATATACTGTAATCCTCTTACATTATATTACTTATATGCAAATAATGCATTTTGTCCTTCTTTACATTATGAAAAGAGAAGATTGGTGATACAGGAACGGCGTTATCTAGGAATCCTATAGCATGCCTCTAGGTCATTCAGCTCTATATAGGCAGCAGCTTAATTGCAGCCTTAAATAACAATTAATATCATCAGAATGTTAATAGATATAATTGCCGAAATCCATTCCGATGAATACATTTCCAGAATAACGAACATTTACACTTGGCACACAATGCAGTTTAGTTTTTAACGAAAAGCATTGCGGGTATATGACTGATCAATCTTATTTGCGTATGAACAATAATATTATTCAATATTGATAGGAAATCCTGAACTAGACGATCGCTGAATTAAGGTTTAATACTCCAATGAATGACACAAAATTCAAGCTCACGATAAATTTTTAAGTTAAGGAATCGCGGGGCGGTGCTAGGCTGCATGCATGGAGAGTAATTTTGAAGAATTGTGAAATCCGAAAAAATTATACATAACAATTTGACAAAAAAAGTTTTTCAATAGATTTTCCAAAAACACGAATATATGTATAGGAATTACTAGTCCACCATAATAGTGAACAACTCATCCAATATTAATATGTTAAACAAGCTATTTCATTTGCAAACAATTACTAAATTTAGTCCTTTAAAAATTGAACACTCAGTATTTTCAATTAAATAATTAAATGTATCTTCTCTAAAGTGCAAACAAAAATATTCTAGCCTTGCATTCTGTTCTGGTAAATAATATATAAACTACAACATTGTTATTTTCGCATGTACAGTTCATAAACATCTCAATTTAAAATCTGAATGAAATTATTTGATCGTTCACTCAATTCACTCTACAAGCTGCTAGACTTTAATTACTCCATTTAAAGATTAAAAGTCAAGTTGTGATCTCACTTTTAACGCTCAGGGACACCGTTTTTCCGATGACGCCGTGATTTTCGTTATCTTCCAACAGTTCTTCCCTGATACAATCTTTGTTCGGCGACTGCAGCAGCGAATGTGATAAAGTTTCGTTTCTGTGTGAATCTAAATCTAAAAAATCTACGATACCATGACTGTTTTTAATTAATAAATCAGATTTACCGCTTGATTGTGCGAACAAATTACTGGTTGGCGTTAGGTTGGTGGGGAAAGCAGGGGCTTGGAAAGGTCTTCTGAGAGGCGCTGGGAGCGGTCTTGGTCGTAATGGCATATGCATGTTCGGAAGATCGAGTCTTGGTATAGGAACCCCATTTGGGAGCCCTGGCAGATTCACACTGGTTCTCCAATTCATTGGAAAAGAATGTGGAGTTGGTAATGAAGGAACGTGATTGAGAGCAGCGCTGTACATTTGCTGGAGAGACGCTGCGACTTCAAAAGCCATGGTATTGGATGGAAGTCCGGCGCTGAAAGAGGAAACTTGGGAAGGTGTGAGGGATGCAGGGACAGACGAAGGAGGCATTGATGATGGAAATGAGTTCATAAGGCCGGCACTTATGGCGGCTCCAATGCAATTACCGAGGGTCATCACGGGTGGGAAAGACACAGGGTCCAATTTCGGAAGTAAATTAGAAAAGGCTGCTGTTGCAATCGAAGCAGGCGTAGTTGATGGCAAGTCAGTTTGTGGAACCCCACCGAGCTGGGCCGACAGGGCAGCCAAGTGAGCACCAGAAGGATAAATAGGAGTGGGCATCGTTAATGAAGAAGACTGAGGCTTTGCGTCCGATGACGCAAGATTCTCTATTGTGAACGCTTGTCTGTGGGTCGGAGGTGCTGGGTCAGCCAGCCGCGTGTAGTCTATCATGTCCAACGGTCGCCCCTGCTGCAACTGCTGCAGTCCGGCCTCTAATGCCTCCTTCTCAGACTTGGCTATTTTAAAGCGTTTTCTTCGGCGAAGAAAACTTCCATTTTCAAACATGTTCATTGCTGATGGATGGAGAGTCCAGTAGGCACCTTTGCCTGGCCGGTCAGGCCTTCTGGGAATTTTGATGTAGCAGTCATTGAATGATAAATTATGTCGTAATGAGTTTTGCCATCTTTGTGTGTTCTTCTTATAATATGGGAAGGAATCCATAATGAATTTATAAATTTCAGCCAAAGTACACATCTTCTCCGGGCTGTTCCATATGGCCATAGCAGTTAGTGATATATATGAATATGGGGGCTTTTGATCGCCATAGCTATCTCTTGAAGGCCTTGGCATGATTCGCTGCGTGAGTCTTCGCAATCCACAAAGAATCAAATAATGATCTCTGTAACTGTATCACATGCCAGAGTACATGCCAATACGCCAATATTGCACTGTTGATACAATTTTTTATAAGTCGTGATTGCCGCAGGCTAGGTCGTGATTGCTCTAAGCGTCCGACTCACTCGGCCTGCTGGAAGCAATCAAGGACGTAACTTCAATCTAAGGTTTGCCAACTGCGCGCACGCTGGGTCGTCTTTCACTGGAGTCCCTTGGGACAAGTTAAGCTTGCACGCCAGACCCTCCCTGCGCCTGACTCTGGTTATTGGTTCCTGAAGCCTAACCAATCTGGAGTCGCGTCCAGAAACTGGGCGGGCGTCAGCCAGAAGGTGGTCTTTCCAGACGCTTCTGTGAAGCTGCCGCGCATCCAGAAGCGCGTTCCCGTGGCTGTGCTGCGTGCCATCAGCTTCTAACGGTTAAAACTTGGCTTACGGCCTTTGCCAACTTTACCCATACGGCCACCATCTAATCTAAGTTACATCACCCGAATGATGACAGAATGTTCCTGCAGAAGCCATTATAACGTCCTGATGTTCATTCGAAGCAAATTGTTGGGTGCTCTAAAAGCGAAAGAATCCCTAGCAAATGTATGCAGAGCGCAGAACAAAACCTTCTCAATTGTAGCCTGAACTCCGGCCCCTCGGGGGCGAACAGTAAGCTAGGTGGGTGGCCTGGTCAACTCCACACACCAATTACACTTTAACGCCACACGCTTGTCTTACTTAATCACTCAACGTTAGCTCGATATGGACACTATTGTAGACAAGATGAGATTTCTTTCAGTCTTTGATGTATCTGCGATTGGCTTGATGGGACCTGAAGTAAGACTGAGAATGCGTGTTGAACTCAATAATAGGTTTACTCACTAATGAATGACTAACCTGAGGCGCCGCACGCTTCCTTTCTGACTGTCTATGAAATTATATAAATTTCTCTCCGTTCTTAGAGATGAACGACCAAGAAGTCGAAAAACATTCACCATCTCTCTTTCTCGAGTGCCAACTTCTTTAATCCGCAATATATCTCAGTGCTGAGTTACGGGGCCTATATGAAAGAATTTATTGAAACACAACTTCACGTAAGGTGGAAGCGTCATTTTTTTCATTCATGTGTTGTTCTACATGGACAAAATTCATGAAGAAACAATCTACTCAAAGTGATGCCACGTAGCATCGAGCATAATTTCATTAGAGTGTTTATTTCTATTACGGAAAAATTCGGATTTCAATTTTATACGAATCTAACAGATTTCTGGAATACAAATATTGCCTTTCATAAATAATCACGAATTTCGAATGAACTAAACATTCATTTGAAAGATCCTCAGCTCATCGAGCTAAAATAATACGGGATTTCGACTAAAACTCAACTAATGCACAGATAATTTCTAATCACTTTTGCCTTCCTAATACACCTCGATTTGAGATTATTCTTTACTTGTGGAGCTTGTGTCATCTTGCATCTTAATAAATCTGTATTAAAAATAGAGCACCGCATGCATCAAGAATGACCACATCGATTCTGATATCAGAATATCGACGGAGCAATGACTCCACATTTGTATCTATTTATGAATCAGTGCTACGTCGCTATCACGTGCGACTCAATTTTTCCAGCTGAGTACTTAGATTATCTCGGCAAATCTAACAGATTATGCGAAGCAGATTGAGATTTGCATGCAACTTCATGTTGGACATATCAGCGTGAGCTCGCATTTGTTGTACGGTGGCCGGGAATGAAGTATAATAATAATAATAATGCCTATCGCGGGAGTACTTACATTATAATGTAGAGTAATTATTTTCCATTTATCTGTCAATTATTTGCCATTATTATGATTTAGTTAATTACGAGCTGAACTTCGAGATTGATTGATCGTGAAATGAAATTTTATGCTAGCTTGTATAACTCGACCGCTCGCCTGTTTTTTGTAGAATAATAGATATATATATCTTCTAATGAAATCATGATTTATTATGTTTGCAATTTACAGACCCATTAGCAGCACAGTTTTTTTTAGTAATCATTTGATACACGATTTGATTTTAGTAATCATTTCTGGAATTTTTTTAAAGTCAACAGTAAAAACATTTAGTTTAATGTAAAGTCGAGTCTCATGAAAAATTTATGTTCACGCCTTGCCAATCGGCCCCAAAATTCTGACTCGAAAAAGCTGTTCAATCGGCGCTTGATTGTTCTTCGAGTGACTCGTTCCTTTCATCAATTAAAAAATTAATCTAATTCAAGTCGTGGACTGGTTAGTAGTGGTTATTTAATGGCCAGTGACAATAAGGCGATAATTACAATCGGAGCAATAGAGATGCTGAATTATATACATGCATACCGTCAAAATACACGCTTACTGTGTTAACACACGTGCTAAGTGCAGGTACACGTGAGGGCAGATGTACTTGAGAACAGGTGCACGTGAGGGCAGATGCACATGGGAACAGGTGCACGTGAGGGCAGATGTACTTGAGAACAGGTGCACGTGAGGGCAGATGCACATGGGAACAGGTGCACGTGAGAACAGGTGCACGTGAGATCTTGACGAGTGTGCATGGAGAATGCGATCGGTCACGAGTCACGCATAATGAATACGCATGCCACGGCGCATAATCTTTAGCCGCGCTTCGTTCATGCCATTACTTCATATCGACTATATTGGTCTCACTATCAAGAGGCTGGATGTGAAATAATAAATAATGTATCAATAATTTCAGGCATCATTCTATATTAGGAAATAAATATAGATAGGCCAAATTAATGTCGTTCACGCAATTGATGAGTATGTCGTTTAACATTTATTTTATGAGCTTAATTTAAAAATTAGTGACTAAAATTACCCCAAAACTCAACTTAAGTTGTAATTATGCAATAACATTCTCTATTTTAAGTGTAGATTATTTCCTTAGAGGGTGAATTTTTCAAGACTATGTATTTGATAACTAATATGTTTTAAATTAAAACTCAACTGTGAATGCAACTATTAAATGCAAAATTATTTATTTATTAATTAAAATTGTGAAACTCTGATTGTAATTAAAATTTTCGCGGATTGTGGGTTTTTCGTCTGTTCATTTTAATTTTTCTTCTTAATGCAACTCAAACTTACTTCAATTTCGCGGCATTACGAAAGCGTATTCAAAATAATTAGCCTCGGATTCCCCATTGCATACAGTTCATTTTTATTATGTTTAGCCTGTACTAAACTATGCAATTAGATATTGCACACCTTATTTTGTATTTTGTTGTTCATGGGCATACTGAGATTTTTGTAGTTCATTTCCTTTCTATTTCAATGATACTTACGCTTTAAGGAGATACGCTTATCAAAAAATCTAGTTTTCTATCATGACTTTCCAGAGTTCACATTCCACATTTTATGAACCAACAAGCATTATGAGTACAGATCATTCTGCTCTGAGCATTTTTTATTAGCCATTATGAATCGTTTTGAAACATTATTAGAAAATAAAATTTCCTATGCCAATCCTTCGAGTGTTTTTGTGTTTTTTTATTGGCAACATCCGTGGAGTTTGTGTCGGCCCCAAAAAGTTGACTGGAAACACGGATTGTCGCGGCAGCTCTGAAAGTCGGACCCGGAAGCGCTAACAAGCTTTGCCGGGATGCCTGCTTTGTGCACCTTAGAATTAACAGGCTATAAGGCTTCACAAATACTTCACACAACAAACTCATCGTTAATCTCATCAATAATAAGTGACGCCGCGGCTAAACCATTAAAGGCAATCAATAACTCATGTATAACGACGTCATGTCGCGCCTTTTGACACTTTTGCGTAAATGGTTTCCGGAAAAGCTTCTACAAATATACTGGAAATGCTTTCGATTTCAAGCTCTTATTATTGACATGAGTATTATTATTTTTCTGTATACATCGATGATGTACATTAAAACTCCTGTTTATTTTGATGCTAAATAAATGAATGCGGCAATTTAAAATTTCTATTCCTGTGTGAGCTAACTTTTTAATCGGGCACTTCTCTGACCATAAACCTGTGTATTGAATAATAAAATGTAAGCTTTTTTCTTGTGCACATTAAGTGCACAAGATCAAGTGCAAAGTTTTCTTGTGTATTTCCAATCTTTGCTGCATTTTTCAATATAAATGTCCACAAATTGGTCGTAGATTTTCACCCTAGCCTAGCTAATATGAAGGATTTCATCAAGCGTATTATCAGGAGATACGGAAACAGAAAATTATTATTTTTTTGCGCAATTAATTTTTAATGCGTTACTCAATAATTTAATAATAGTGGGCTTGAATTTGACAAATTTTGCAATAAGACGTCTTCCTATGAATTTTTTCCGAAAATTTCTGTACAAATGTTGAAAAAATAAGCATTACTCCGAGCACATACTACAATTTATATCATCACATACAATTTAATGTCATCGAATCCGATGTAATATTATGGCATCCAATTTGAAGACATCATGTGCAATAGTAAAGTTCCCAAGACTCAAAATCTAATTTCGACAAATTAACAATCCCAGAAAATGCCATGGCATCATCTCGTACTGAATGACGTCTAAGATCTCATGCATTCTATTACTATAGAAAACAATTAATTAGCAAATTAAGGGACTGTTTTGTATATATAACTAAAATTACCGTGATTTGAATCTAATCCAGATTTAGATTAAATATATACTGTTAAATATGATGCTGCAATAAGTTTTTGTAAGGAGGATAATTTGATTTACAAATTTGTATTTTCAATTTAACTGCATAACATTTTTCTACGTAATATGTTTATTATCAGTTCATCTGTTCCATTCTATCATAGTATCCGTCTAATCTTTAGCTTTATTCCGTGCCGTGTATCAATATAGAGATTAAAATCAAGAAATAAATTGTGTGACGCTGCATTTTGCAAGCAGATCTCGAATTAAACTATAAAAAAGCAAGATTATATAAATTATAAACCCTTGCAAGAAGTTCAAAACCATGTCGTAAAACTCATATTATTTATTGACAGATGTCCTAAATGACTATTCATTATTATTCACAGATTCAATGATTATTCCCTTCAATAATCATCAGCGACTACAAGGATCGATCGCAAATAGGCGTTATAAAAATTTTAAATATGGAATTCCCATTAAAACCAAACATTTGCATTATAAACATTAGAAATTCGCATTCAAATTAACCACTAACA